TTTTTTTTTTTTTTTTTCCCTTTCGCTTCCCCGATCCATCGAGGCTAACGATTCGTGTACGATAATGAAAGAAAATTTTTTGATTAATCCCTGCGCATTGTACTTGCTGTATTTTAAAATTCGTATTTTAAAATTTTTATACAGATATATATATATATATATATCTGTATTCGGACTTATTCGCATTTGATTTCATTTTTGAAATTTAGCGCGGTTTCTTTGTTCCACTTTTTTTTTTATACCTGCCTTTTTTTTTTTTAAATTGTAAACCATAATCTATATATATAATATATATATATATATGTATATGTATATGTATATGTATATGTATATGTATATGTATATGTATATAAAGCTATGATCTTAATTATATGCTATAATAAATATGATGTAAGAGGTTAATACATTTTTTTTAACACTGTTTACAATATTTATGCAATTTATACGATTATAAAATTACAATTGTATAATTTCTCTTTTTGTAAATATACAAAAAAAAAAAAAAAGAAAAAAAAGGATATAAAGGATTTAATTAAATTTATTAAATTAAATATTCTCGTTTGATATTTTAAGAATCGATTTTACAAATCGTGAATAATTCCTTATTATTACATACAATATATAATTTTCTTATTAGATCTTATCTATCATTAGAAAGTACACTTTCAATCTTTTAATTATTATTACAAAACTCTGATGAATATCATAGAAATGAAGTCATTAAAATGGAGAATGCTAATCACCGTTGACCCTAATGACATTAAAACGTTACAATGACGGTTTCGTAAAAGGTCTAATGTAATTGGTTGTTGATAAGGAATCATGAAATCAGGTCGACGACATTAGATAGAAAACAATGGAAAGAAAGTGTTCCATTTTAGTGCACATTTCGTAATTACGATTTTAATATCGTCAGTCACACACTCGAGATGATGAATTTACGACTTTGTTTCTTTTTCTTTCTTTTTCTTTTTTTTTTTTCTCTCTCTTTTCTTTCCTTTTCTTTATAATCTTGAGATTTTTTTTACTCTATCGTCTCTTATTAACGATAAGTATTTTTTATTTTGTTTTTGTTTTGTTTTATAATATATTACTGTTACGTGATATTTGTGTTTACTATATTGTACATAAATTTTTTTTTACGCTAAATATACTATATATATATATATATATATATATATATGCAGTATATTGTAAAAATATATTGTATATTGAAAGTATAACATTATTATCGATAGAAAAATTTGATCTAATAATAATAATAATAATAATAATAATAATAATAATAATAATAATAATAATAATAATAATAATTGTTTTTTTTTTTTTTTTACATAAATAAAAAAGAACATTAAATTGCATTTGTTTAACTTATCGATACGTAATATTAATCTATTATGATGAAATTTCATTCATTGTAGTATTAACGTTTTATTATTAATTTGTTTATATTATTAATTTCGTTTAATGAATGTTATTATAATGAGATGAAATTTCATTCGTTGTAAGATTAATTTGATTTTATTTATAATTAATCTTTTAAAGGTTAATATATAACACAAGCTCGCACTCTTTCTCTCTCTCTCACTCTCTCTTTCTCTCTTTTGTGTAATCGTAAAGTAAGGATAATAAAACTGCTTATAATGAAAGAGAAAGAGAGAAAGAGTGAAAGACAGGGAGAGAAAGAGAAAGAGAGTGAAAGACAGGGAGAGAAAGAGAGAGAGAGAGAGAGAGAGAGAGAGAGAGAGAGAGAGAGAGAGAGAGAGAGAGAGAGAGAGAGAGAGAGAGAGAGAGTTTAGCAAATAATGACGATTTCCTTCTCCTTTTTATTGTGATTGTTCGTTTGAGGTTGTTTCTCGCTCGAGTACCCACATTCGTCTTAAAATTTCAATAAACGAGTGGAGCTCCTTTACTTGAGATAATATAAAGTACAATACCCGTGTTAATGGCGATTAGTATTACACACTGGAACATGCACTGAGCATTTTATTGCTTCAACCAGTTTATAATCATTTCATTTTAGAATGCATATCCGATTTCATTTCATACGTGGTTATGTATGTGTGTCTAGTTAAGTGCATGCATATATGCATGTATGTATGCATATATGTATGTATACATGTGTATATATATATATATATATATATATATATATGTATGTATACATGCACCATAATTTTGATTTATTCGTGCGTTTGGAAAATCTCATTAGATAAATATTTTTGGCACGTAAGAGATATAATTTTAATGAATAAATTTTCTTCTCGTAAATTTAATTGTTAATAAATATCGAAGGATTTTATTTTGATAGTTTTTATTTCATAATAAAAAAAATTAAAAATAATAAAGAAAGTATATAACGAGTTGGACGATGTTTTATTTATCCGGGGAAAAAAAGAAAAAAAAAAAACAATTAACATATAATCAATTAAAACGAACGAAGGATTACAAATATATATCACTTTAATGAATTTAAATGAATAAATTAAAAAAATAAACAAATGATCACAGCTAATTTTTCTAAGTCAATGCAAAACTTCGTCCAGTTTTTTTTCTTTTTCTTTTTTTTTTTTTTTTTTTTTTAAGTATATTTTTTTTAAGTAAACAAAGAAAAAAGGGAAAAATAAAAATATCGAAGTAAATTAACATCGACCGATCAATTTTTTATCTATGAAAAAAGATATCAATTCAAATATCGATTGGAATAAATAAAAATCAATTAACAAATTAAATATATTTACTAGTAAATAAATAAATGAGTAAATGGATAAATAATTTTTTTATAAAAAAAAAAAAAAAAAGAAAAAACAAAAAAGACAAAGAAAAAAAAAGAAAAGAATAAACGTTCACGGGCAATATTAAAAGTCAACATAAAAATCTCATTGAATTTTCTTATCTCTTAAGTTCGCATTAAAACAAATTAGAAAGGATATAAGAGATATTAAATACAGGATGTTAAATTTATTTGTCGTTACTGAGAGAATTACAATATAGCGATCTCTCTCTCTCTCTCTCTCTTTCTTTTTCTTTTTCTCTGCATATTTCATCTCTATCTCTATCTCTATCACTTTATCTCTTTCTCTCTCTTTCTTGCACATGTACGTGTGGTACATATCTTTGACTCATCCGTTAATCCTGCTCATTCGTATGCCAAGTTGAACATCGTAGCGAGCCGTTACATCGAAGTAGTTAAGAAAAAGAAAGAATAAAAAGGGGGTGAGAATCGAGAAAGATATATATACATATATATATATATATATATATGTGTGTGTGTGTGTGTGTGTGTGTGTGCGTGCGTGTGCGTGTGTATGTATGTGTGTGTGTGTGTAGAAAGAAGGGATGAAGTAATGCAGGGTATATTCAGAAATAGATTCTTAAGAGCGTAGAAAGTGACTTGGTGACACAGTACTCTTCCGCAGCTTTTCTATTCTTATCCATCCATACGAACGGTTGACATTAAAGAATCGAAGGGAAGTTGACATAATAATACCAATCGATGGATTATTTTGTTTTTTCAATATTTTTAATTTATTCCCTATGATTAAAAAATACGATAATTAATCAATCAAATTCTGAATGTGATCTTATACGTTTTCGATCGTCTCGATGATCGATAACATTACTCGTCGTGACGATCGTTAAGTATTATATGTACTTAAATATTGATTATTATTAATTAAGAATTCAATTCGATCTAATTTTTCATCGTTTGATATATATATATATATATATATATATATATATATATATATATATATATCGATTAGTTTATCAAATTGAATTCGTTCCGAGACTAATTTTAAGGGTTTTTTTTTTTTTTTTTTTTTTTTTTAATTGCTTAATCGTTTCTTTCGATTGATCGACAGACGGATCGATGGATTGATTGTTCGTTTTCCTTTTCTTTCTTTTGGTTCATTTTTCTTCTTCTTTTTCTTTCTTTCTTTCTTTCTTTCTTTTTTTTTTTTTTTTTTTTTCTTTTTTTATTTTCGTCGATATTTTCTTGAGCGTCGACGAAGTAAGTAATGATTAATTAGCGACTGGATTTCTTTGACGTTAATATTAATTAAAATGTGTAAAGAGATTATTACGAAAGTGAATGTCAGTTTTTTGATTGAGTATCATTCGTGTGTCACGTCTTAAGATTACGATGTAGTATTAAATTACGAATATTTTTGATTAAATTTGAACGTAGGATTGTCTTTTTACGAGTAAAAAAAAAAAAAAAAAAAAAAGAGGGAATATCGATCGATCGACACATTAAAAAAAAAAAAAAAAAAAAAAAAAAAAAAAAAAAAAAAAAAAAAAAAAAAAAGAAGAGGAAGAAGACAAAAAGAACAGAATTTTTGACTATAGCCAAACATACGAGTACGAATTGAATTGAAAAAAAAAAAAAAAGAAAAGAAGAGGAAGAATACAAAGATTATTTTTAATTTTGATTAATTACAATCAAATCGTCGGAATGATATTATTTTATTATTCAAGATTCGAATAATAATTTCAAATCTATATCGCAAAATTTATAAAGTAAATTAAAATGAGATAAAATAAAATAAAGTGAAATGAAATGAAATGAGATTGAATTAAATAAAATTAAATTAAATAAAATTAAATTAAATTAAATCTTTTTATTTTTATTAATATGACGAGACGTTTCAATAGATAATTGTATTTACATAAGAGAGAGAGCGAGAGAGAGAGAGAGAGAGAGAGAGAGAGAGAGAGAGAGAGTGTGTGTGTGTGTATATCTATATGTGTATATATCACGTATGTATATAAAATTTTTTTTCTTTCGGAATACCGTACGAATTAGGAGGAAGAATTATTTCACTATGGTGTTTTTATCAAAAATAGAAAGAGAGAGAGAGAGAGAGAGAAAGAAAGAGGGGGGGTGGTTGGAGAAAATTCCAAATGATGTTAAATGTCAAGATGAGGTGAACAAATGTTCAAGCTTTCATGGAAAATAGGATTTGGTACACGAGCATGGAACATCGAATCGAAAC